AAAAGTGACCTGTCAATAGTCATACTTAATGTGAATGGACTAAGTGCACTAATTAAGGGCGGGGAGGGGAAGTAGCAGATTGGGTTAAGAAAAAAAAACCATCTATATTGTCACAAGAGACACATCTAAGAAATGAGAAGAAAGACAGACTAAAAATCAAAGGCTAGAAAAATATGCTAATAAATGGCATTCACAGAAAAGCAGGAGTGGCAACAAAAAAGATAAAATACACGTCCAGGTGAAAACTACCATAAAAGATAAAGGCACAATAGATCAAGAAAACATAGCCTTAGCCAACATCTAAGTATTGAAGATAGACCTGCAAAACATAAAACAAAGATTAAAAAACTAAATAAAGAAATAGACAACACTACAATAGTGGTAAGAGACAGTAACATAACAAACCAAAGAATTGGACAACTCAAAAGAAAATTAACAAAGATGCAGAAAATCTAAACTGTATAATCAGCCAACTCAACCTTGTGGATGTATTCAGGTTACTGTACTCAACTAAAAGTCAATTCACTTTCTTCTCAAGTGCACGTGGTATATTTTCCAGAATTGATCATATACTCAGACAAAAAGCAGGCCTCAACAAATTAAAAAACATTGAAATAATACAAACTATCTAAGCAGACCACAATGCCGTGAAACTAAAAATTAACCATAAAAGGATAATTCTTATAAAATCACCCATGTGGAAGTAAAATAACATCCTATCAGAACACAACTAGGTGATAGGAGAAATAAAAAATAAAATAAAAATGGCAAACTTTAAAACAGAGACAGATAACCTGATTAACTAATGATAGTTATCACAATAGAACCAAATTAAATTAATTGATAATATTGAAATACTATGAAAATTTATACTCTGATAAATTTGAAAACCTAGAGGAAACAGAAAAATTCTTTGAAACCCATGACCTTCCAGATTGAAATGGACAGTTCTTGAACAGACCCATCACAAAAAAAGAAATTGAGCAGGTTATAAAAAGACTCTCTCACAAGAAAAGTCTTGAACCAGCTGGCTTCACTGCTGAATTCTACCAAAGATTCAGAAAAGTTCTTTCACCACTTCTACTTAAATTAATAAAATTTTTTAAAAAATAGAAAAAGGAGGAAAACTCCTAGAGTCATTCTATGAAGCAAGCATAACCCTAATACCAAAACCAGGCAAAAATATTACCAAAAAAGAAAACAACAGACTGTTGTTCTCTCATGAATACAGATGCAAAAGTCTTGGCCAATAGAATTCAACAGCACATGTTGTTTTTATTATGCGTCATCGAGTCGCTTGCTACTCATAGTGACCCTATGTACAACAGCCCTAAACTCTTCTCTGTCCTGTGCCAATCGCATTGCCTCTGACACACCCATCCCGATTACCCCAGTCACTGAATCAATCCATCTCCTAAAGGACCTTCCCCTCCTGCACCTGCACTTCACCCTACCAAGCATGATGTCCTTCTTCAAGGACCTGTCTCGCCTTACAACATGACCCAAGTACGTCAAATGAAGCCTCAGAATCCTTGCCTCCAAGGAGTAACCCGTTTTAACCCTCTTCAGGATAAATCTGTTTGTTTTCTTAGCAGTTCGTTGGTCCTCTAATACTCTTCTCCAGCACCAAAGCTCAAAGGCATCAATTCTCCTTCTATCCTCCCTAGTCATTGTCCAACTCTCTGATGCATAAAAAGTGATTGCAAAGACCATGGCCTGTATCAGATGCACCCTAGTCTCCAGAGAGACACCATTGCTCTTCAGTACTTTGGAGAGGTCCCTAACAGCAGACTCCCATGGCAATACGCATTTTAATTTCCTGGCCACTGGTGTGCCAAGAGTGTTGACTGTGGAGCCAAGCAAACTAAAGCTGTGAACAATCTCAATATCTCTTTTTTTTATTTTAAATCCAATGTTTTAATCGTCATTACATGAACACAAGAATGGTGCTAAAGTCTATCAAGTTAAAGACATTGTCTAATAATTTACATAGGATGACTATGACCGCTTCATACAATGAAAGTGATTTGACATAGTGAACTTAAATATTTTACTGAAATTTTCATATAGTCCTTTGGTCTATTGTCTGATGTAATCTCTCTTTTTTTTTTTATTTATTCATTCATTGCTGCACATTTTCCTCTGTCTTCCATCCCCTAGTCCACTTTGAAATGCACTTTTTCCAGATTGTTATCATACAATAATACCTAATCATATATTTCTTTTCGACCATTTTTCCTCTCATCTGTCCCAATGCAATGTTCATTGTCTATCCATTCTTTTTCTATTCTCCCTTCATGTCAATTCTATTTTGTAACAGCAGTGTTTGACATTTTTTTATTTTTCAAAAAAGCCAAACTATACTACTAAACAGATGTATGTGAAAATAATGGTGGAGATAGGTCTTGATCCCAAAGCTAAATCATAGAAACCTTAAATAAAGGTTTTCTATATTAAGAATCACATATTTTGGAGGAAGTGGTAGTATGGAGAAAGTATTAACTACTTTTCCTTTTCCTTATGCAGACAACCTTTTGAAAGAACTAAATTTGTAATGGGGGGAAAAGCAGATTTTGAATTTAGCACTCCGAAGAGGAAACCTCAGCCCAAGAAGGGACATGGACAAATCTTGGTGGTCAGTGATAAGAGGAAGTTAAGTAACTTTCACCTCAGGAAAATGCTCTTTCTTCTGTTATTTGAATCTCATTCACATTGGAGGCTTTTCATTAACACAATGTTCCTCTGAACACAGACGGGGCACAGCAAATTGTCTTCCATGTGTGGAGGTGTGCAAACAAGGGCCGGTGTCAAGAAGAGAGCAATCACATTGTCCAGTCTGTCAGGGACCCACTCTTGTCCAGGATGGCACTGCAGTCGAGTCCAACCTTTTGTATTTCCAGGAAGACATTTCTCATGTACTAAACACCATTTAAGATCTTCAGCCTCTTTTGATGATTTCCCAGCCTCTGTGGTGGAAGTTGACACTACAATAGTTTTCTCTACCTTCATGAGAGTACCGTCCAGGACGGAGGTCTCCATCTCAGGGGCAGGAGCCAGGTTAGGAGGGCCACTCTTCTCAGAGGACCTGTTCCTTTCCTTAGATTTCTTCTCCTTGTCCACTTTTAATTTTCTTTGTAGTCGTGTATTTTCACCTTCTCCTATGGTATCCTTTTGATGTGGAAAACATCTTTGAAGGATCCGCTGATAATTTTCCACCTTCTGCCCCTTAGTGCTCAGTTTCAACAGCTGGCACCAGCCGCGTACAGTGTCTCGGTGAACATTGTTAATTGGTGGCAACTCAGTAGGTAATGGGGGAATGTCAGCCTTCTTCCGTGGTCTAGAGTCATCCTGACTTTGTGAACAGGAAGCTTTTTCTACTTCTTTTTTTTTTCTTGGTTTGGTCTCCTTGTTAGGAGTTTCCAGGAAAATTGGATGCTTGGTTGATTAACCACTTCTGGCATTCCTTGATATTCTAACACAGGCTCAAATTTGAGAATCACATAGTCTTCATCTTCCTGCTCCATGGAATTCTGATTCTCTTGTGAATTCTCCATTGGGACAAACATGAGGTTGATAAAACTTGGCTCAACAATCTCAATCTCTTCACCATCCATCCTGATGCTGCCAGCTGGCCCAGTGGTAAGAATCTTTGTCTTCTTGACATTGAGCCTCAGCCCATACTGAAGGCTGCAGTCCTTGACCCTTCACAGCAAGTGCATGAGGTCCTCCTCAGTTTCAGCAAGCAGGGTTGTGTCATCTGCATATCGCAGATTGTTGATAGATCTTCTACCAATCCTGACACCACATTTCTCCTCATAGAGCCCAGCCTCCTGGATAATCTCTTCTGCATATAGTTCGAAAAGGTATGGAGACAGGACACATCCCTGGCGTACGCCCTTTCCATTTTTCAACCATGCAGTGTTTTCTTGAAGTACAATAATGTGAGTGACAGGATTATATACATATGCATACAAAGAAGCCCAGTGAATACCACTATCATTCAGATATATGCACCAACAACCAGATCCAAAGAAGAGGAAGCAGAAGATTTCTACTAACTTTTACAGTCGGAGATCGATCAAACATGCAATCAAGATGCATTGATAATAATGGGTGACTGGAACGCAAAAGTTGGGAACAGAGAAGAAGAATCAGTAGTTGGAAAACATGGACGTGGTGACAGAAATGGAACTGGAGATAGAATGATTGAATTTTGCACAATCAATGACTTATTCATTGCAAATACTTTTTTAAGAGACATAAATGCAGGTTATATACATGGATTTCACCTGATGATATGCATAGGAATCAGAACAATTACATCTGTGGAAAGAACCAATGGAGAAGCTCAACATCAGCTGTGAAAACTAGGCCAGGAGCGGATTATGGAACAGACCATCAACTACTCATATGAAAGTTCAAGCAGAAGCTGAGGAAAATGACACCGAATCTACGGAAACCAAAATATGACTTTGAGTCTATTCCACCTGAATTTCAGAACCATCTCAGGAACAGGTTTGAGGCCTTGAAAACTAATGAACGAAGACGAGATGGGTTGTGGGAGAATATCAAGGGTATCATCCAGGAAAAGTGCAAATGGTCATTACAAAGACAGAGGAAAAGATCAAAATTGATGTCAGAAGAAACTCTGAATATTGCATTGGAGCGCAGAGAAGCCAAAGCACAAGGAAGAATTCAAGATACTAAAGAGCTGGACAGGTGATTTCAAATCAGCACATAAAAAAAATCATTATGACCAAGTGAGATTCATAACAGATATATAAGGAGGGTTCCACATAAGAAAAAGAATCAATGTAATTCACATTAATGAAGCAAATAACAAGATCAAGAATAACAATAAGATAAAATAGCAATAACAAGATCCTAGCAACTGGTGTAAAAAAGGCCTCTGACAAAAATCCAAGATGCTTTCCTGGTTAAAACACTCAGCAAAATAGGACTAGAAAGAAATTTCCTCAACATGGTAAAAAGTAAATACACAAAACCAAGAGCCAATATCATTCTCGTTGGAAAAAGACTAAAAGTATTCATGTGAAGAGGGACCAGACAAGGATGTCCATTTTAACCATTTCTATTCAATATTGTATAGGAAGTACTTGCTAGGGTAGTGCAAAAGGAGAAGGAAATGAAAGAAAGAAGAGGCCTCCATATCAGCAAAGGGATTATGAAACTGTCATGTGCAAATGCTATGATATTATACTCCCAAAACCTCAAGGACTCAACCAAAATGCTATTAGAGCTAGTAGACCAATTTAGTAGAGTGTCAAGATGTAAGACCAGTATAAAAAAATCTGTAGGATTTCTCTGCAGAAACAAAGAAAATATAGAGAAGAAAATTAAGAAAGCAATACCATTTACAATATCCAATCACAAAATTAGATATTTAGGAATAAACCTAACTAGAGACACAAAAGACCTTTACAAAGAAAACTACAAAACTTCTGCAAGAAACCATAAAAGACCTAAATAAATGGAAAAATGTTCTCTATTCATGGGTCGAAAGACTCCATATACTGAAAATTGCACTCCTACCAAAAGCAGCCTACATGTTTAATGCAATCCCAGAATGGATATCCAATTTCTTTTTCAAGAAGATTGAAAAGACAATTGTCAAGTTTATTTGGAGCAAAAAGAGACTTCAAATAAGCAAAACACACCAGGAAAAAGTGGGAGACATAGCACTCCCTATCTAAAAGCTCCTATACAGCAATAATAATCAAAAGAGCATGGTACTGGTACTGATTCGTATCAGCATTACTCACAAGCATAAGAACATGGTAACAGTCCAGATGCCCAACCACAATCAAATGGATTGAGAAATTGTGGTACATTTACACTATGGAATACTGTGCAGCACTCAGGAACAATGATTTTGAAAATTACTACCTAACTCAGGAGAGACTGGAGGGCATTATGCTGAGTAATCTAACCCAGTCTCATAAGGATAAATACTCATAGGGATATTATCCTAAAAACAAAAAGATAACTAGTAAAACATCTATCAGGATGCAAGGAGGGGAAGGGATGGGAACAGAGAGATTAGGGTGGGCAGGGGGGCAAATCATAGGGTTTCACAATTTGGTGAGTGGAGGGAGGGAGACTAAAGGAAATGGAAAAGATCTGGTGGGGATATAGAGAGGCAGGGTAATGATGGACATATTTCATTGGTGATTGATTTTATAAAGCAATGATGTAGAACAATTGTATGAAACACAATGTGGATGAATGTGAAACAAAATATATGCAAACTTTGTATGTAAACCAATGTAAAACTTTTTTAAAAGAGCATAAAAAAGACAGTAAAATACATGTTGCAGTGGGGAAAAAATCTAATGTCAAAGACCTATTTAAAGTGCTAAAGAGCAGAGTTGTCAGTTTAAAGACTAAGGTGGGCCTGATCTCAGTCATAGTGTTTTCAATTGCTCCATAAGCATCTGAAAGTCTGATAATTAATAAGAAAGACTTGAAGAAGAGTAATTGATGCCTTTGAATTGTGGCATAGGGGAAGAGTACAAAATAACCCATGGACTGTCAAAAGAACAAACAAATCTATTTTGAAACAAATGCAACCAGGGTGCTCCTGAGAGGCAAGGATGCTAAAACTCCATCTTGCATACTTAGGAATGTTTTCATAGAGGCCAGATTTTTTAAAAAGTCATCATGCTGGAAAAAGTAGAATGTCAAAGAAAAAGAAAGACCTTCAACACAGACGGATTGGCAGTCACTACCACAAGGAGCTTGAACAAAGTGGAGATTTTGGGGATGGTTCAGGATAGGGCAAAGTTCAAATTTGTTGTTCATAGGGTTCGTATGAGTCGTAGTTGAATCTATGGAACCTGTAACAACCATCTTAGCTATGACAGCCGTAAATATGTATAGGCATAAGCCTATTAAGTCTTAAATCCTGGGACAAGACTCCTATCACTCTTTTTTTGTGTTTTGTTTTTCATAAAAAGAAACATATGAGAACTGAAAAGACAATAAAAACTACCAGCCATATTGTTTCAGAGGTCCATAAGTCTACCTCTCGATTCAATGATTCTCTAAAAGAATGCAATAGAGAGTCAAATTCACGGTTAAGATTTATTACTGTGAAAATACAAAGCCATACCACCAGAAATAAAGCACAAATTTCCAACAGCAGAGTCCCACAAGTCTCAATCTCTCCAGCAATGAGTTGTGACAATATATGTGATAGTTTTAACCAACCAAACTCATTAGAGACTGTGCCCAAGCATTTTAATAGGGAGTAGTCTCTGTAGATTGGGAGAGTCGGCTGTTAGGGACCACTCCAGGGTTCTAAAGAGCAATGGTGTCATTCTGGAGACTTAGGTGCACCTGATACAAGCCATGGTCTTTGCAATTACTTGTTATACATCAGAGAGTTAGATGATTACTAGGGCAGATAGAAGGAGATTTGATGCCTTTGAGCTGTGGTGCTAGGGAAGAGTATTGAATGTACCATGGACTGCTAAGAAAACAAATAGGTTCTTCCTGGAGAGGGTTAAACCAGGCCGCTTCTTGGAGGCAAGGATTCTGAGGCTTCATATGACATACTTTGGACATGTTGCAAGGAGGGACTGGTCCTTGGAGAGGGATGCCATGCTTGGGAGGGTAGAGGAATAACGCAGAAGGGGAAGACCCTCTATGAGGTGGACGATTCAGTGACTGGGGTAATCGGGATGGGTGTGTCAGAGACAGTGAGATTGGCACAGGACAGAGCAGGGTTTAGGGCTGTTGTACATAGGATCGCTATGAGTCACAAGAGACTCGACGGCACATAACAACAACAGTCTCTGAAGTCTACTGGTAAGAAGCTGTGCTGCAATCCTCAAGGCACACAGTTCAAACCCATCAGCTGATATGCAGAAGGATGGACAGTTTCCTCCTGTGTGATTAACTGCCTCAGAAAACCCACTGGAGGGTCAGCTATGGGTCGGTTCAGACTTGATGGTACACAACAACAATAGTCATATAGAGACTGTCTAACATGTTTCCAAATTCCAGAATCACAGGAAGAAAGCAGTTGTCCAACATTAAAAAAAAAGAATGGTGTTTATACAAATTTTAAGCACAGTTGTTGTTGTTGATGTTGTGTACCACTGAGGCAGAACCAACCCATAACTGAGCCTCAGAAGGTTTTCAGACCAGTAAATGTCAGGGAGGAGATGACCTATATTTCTCCGGTGAATTTAAATCACATGTCTTTGGAATGACAGCACAACTCTTGACGTGTAGGCCACCAGATTTGTAAACTACTCTTATTCTGGGTATATTAATTTTCCTTCCTAACCCCAAGATTCTGGGGCCAACCAAAGGTCCACCATGCAAGCAGATCTTTATAGGGAGAGCAATCTCAGATCAGTTCTGATAACTCTATTATAACTTTTGCTTTGTTCTATTTTTATGACATTTTAAGTAGTTTTAGACTGTGTTTATAGTAAAAAAAAAAAAAAAAAACATTTCCAAAAAGAAAATTCTATTTTCCAGGAGGATTTTTCTCTAAGCACATTTTTAACATTCCTTCTTCCCTTTACTCACAAATAGCACTGCAGAGATGGCTTGAATGAACTGGTTGCTAAATGTGGGTGAATACCTGGCTCAGATTTCCTTGGAACTGGCGGGGCTTCCAAGCATTCATGTTCCCGTTACCACAGGGACAATACCTTCAGGGGAAGCCTATTCCTTCCAATGCTGCAGGTCCACGTGGTCTATCTACTTCTAGCATTTCCCATTAGCAAACTTCAGAGGCAAACTTGAGTTATTACATCAGCAATAAAGAGAATAGCTTCTCCAGCCTATTTTTAGAAATCTCAGAACACTTAATTATACCTATAGAAAACCTATATCTAGATGAGCAAACTTGTCTGAACATAGCAAGGGGAACACTGCATGGTTTCAAATCAGGAAATGTGTGCACCAGGGTTGCATTCTTTCTCCATATCTATGCAATCTTTATGCTGAGGCAGTAACTCAAGAAGCTAGATTCTATGAAGAATAAGTAGCATGAAGATCAGAGGAAGATTTTGTCAAAATCCTACACTACGCAGAGCCATAATCTTGCTTGCTGAAAGTGAGGAGTGCTTGAGACACTTGAATCTCAATATCAAGAAGAAAAAATTCTCACCACTGGAACAATCGGCAACATCATAATAGATGGAGAAAAAAATTGAAATTGTCAACAATTTTTTCTTACTTGGGTCCACTATCAACACCGTTGGTAGCTGCAGTCAGGAGATCAGGGGATCCAAATTACTATGGAACAATGATGTCAGTTTGAACACTAATGTGTGCCTTATTCAGTCCATAGTCTTTCTAATCACTTGATATCCATCTAATAGCTGGACAACAAGTAAGGATGATAGTAGGAGTCTACAAACTTTAATCCACAAACTGACATCATTGCTCCTCATATTTAGAGAGGTCCCTAAATGCAGTCTTGCCCAATGCAAGATGTCTCCTGATTTCCTGACTGCTGATGTCAGGGGTGTTGATTGTGAACCCAGGTAAGTGACATTTTGTTTACACTTTCAATGTTTTCTCCATCTATCTTGATGTTACCTATCAAGCCAGCGGTGAGAATTTTTGTTTTCTTGATGTTAAGACATAATCGACATTGAAGGCTGTAGTCTTTGATCCTCTGCAGGAAGCACTTCAAGTTCTCCTCACCTTCAGCAGGTAAGGTTGTATAATCTGCATAATGCAGGTTGCCTATGAGTCTCCCTCTGATTTTCACAGAGTCCAGCTTTTTTAATGATTTGTTCAACCTAAAAACAGAATAAATATGGAAGAAGAATACAACTCTGATGCACACCTTTCTTAATTTTAAACCATACAGTGTTCCCTATCTCTGTTCATACAACAGCTTCTTGGTATAAATATAGGCTTGACATGAGTACATTTAAGTGTTCTGGGATATCTACTATTCTCAATGTTAGTTATAGTTGGTTATAATCCACATAGTCAAATGCATCAATAAAGCACAAATAGAAGTTCTTCTGGTATTCTCTGCTTTCACCCAGGATCCATCTAACATCAGCAGTGATATTCCTGGTGCCCAGCCTTATCAAAACCCAGCTTAAACTTCTGGCTGTTTGATTTCAATGTACTGTTTTGGCCATTTTTGGATGATTGTTAGCAATTTTCTGCTTGCATGTGATATTAATGATATTGTTTGATAATTTCCACATTCTGTTGGATAACCTTCGTTAGGAATGAACATAAGTAAGGATATTTTCCAGTCAGTTGGCCAGGTAGTTGTCCTCCAAATTTTCTGGCATAAACTGATGAGCACATTCAGAGCAGCATCTGTTAGTTGAAACTTGTCAATGGGTATTCCATTGATTCCTGGAGTCATTTTTTTGTCAATGCCTTCAATGTAGTTTCATCATCTTCCTTCATTTCTCTTTGCTGGAATCATAGTTTGTTGTTGTTGTTGTTGTTGTTAGGTGCCATTGAGTCACTTGCAACTCATAGTGACCCTATGTACAACAGCCCTGAAGTCTGCTCTATTCTGTGTCAACCTTATTGCCTCTGATACACTTACCCCCATTACCGCAGTCACTGAATCAATCCATCTCATCAAGGGTTTTCCTTTCTTGTGCTGTCCCTCCATCCTCCCAAACATGATGTCCCTTTCCAAGGATTGATCCCTCCTTGCAACATGCCCAAAGTATGTCAGACAAAGCCTCAGAATCCTTGCCTCCAAGGAGCAGCCTGATTTCACACTCTCTAGGGTGAACCTGTTTGTTCTCTTGAAAGTCCCCAGTATATTCAATACTCTTCTCCAGCACCACAGCTCAAAGGCATCAATTCTTTTTCTATCATCCCTAATAAATGTCCAGCTTTCTGATATATAATAAGTAGTTGCGGAGACTTCCTCAAATATTTCAGTATCGATCAATTATTTTTAGTACGATGATTCTGTGTTTCGTTTACCTTCTTTGAATGCTTCCTGCATCATTCAAAATTTTTTCCATAGCATCTCTAAGTATTGTAACTCAAAGCTTGAATTTGTTTCTCAGTTCTTTCACTTGTAGAAATGCAGAGAGCTCTTCCCTTTGAATTTTCCAATTATAGCTCTTTGCACATTCCCTTATAACACTTTGCTCTCTTCTCAAGCTGCCCTTTGAAATCTTCTGTTCAACCCTTTGATATCTTTGCCCTTTGAAATCTTCCGGTCTTCATGATGGACAGGTTTCAGCAGAGCTCCCAGATTAAGACAGACTAGAAAGCAGGATTGACCACCCAGTTCTGAAATAATAGGCCTCTGAAAACCCTATGAACAATAGAGGAACATAGGTAGCTATAGTGGAACAGTTGTAGAGGCCAGATTGGAAGTTAATAAACAGGAAGTTAAGCAGTTGCAAGAACCCTACGATAACCGGAAAGTGGAACGTATAAAGCATGAATGTTGGAAAACTAGGTGTTGTCAAAAATTAAATGAGACACAAACATCTACATTCTAGGAATTAGTGAGATGAGATGGACAAGTATTAGCCACTTTTACTCAGAATCACATGATTTACGGTGCCAAAAATGAAAAAGTATAGTATTGCATCCAGTTTAAAAGACAATTTCAGGTTCTATCCTGAAGTACAGTGTTGTGAGTGATAGGGTATTATCCATAGCATACCAGGAAGACCTAATAATATGTCCATCATTCAAATTGAGTACCAACACCAAAAGGTAAAGAAGAGGAAATTGAGGATTTTTACCAAGTTTTGGAGTCCAAAATTGGCCAAATGTGCAATCAAAATGTATTTATGGTAACTCGTTAAATAAAATGCAAAAGTAGTCAGAAAAATACAAACTTGGTGACAGAAATGAGTCTGGACATTCAGTGTTCAAATATTTTTAGTTAATGACTTATTCATCTCAAATACCTTTTTAAAAAACTCACAGATGATGACTTTACACATGGACTTCACCTTATGAATTGCACAGGAATCAGACTGATGGCATCTGTGGAAGAAATAATTGGAGAAGCTTAATAACAGCAGCCAAAATTATTGATAGTCTCTGGTCCAAGTACCCGGCCAACAATTGTCCTTCCCTGCAAACAATTGTCCTTCTGCTGCGATAGCCATAGAAACACAGCAGCCATGGCTGTGTGCTACCCTATGGTCGTGGGCCACCACGAGGCCACAAAGTAACCAAGAACGTGGGCAGACCGAGGCACAGCCGCCGCCGAGAGTACCTCACCAAACACACCAAGTTTATGCGGGAGGTGATCTGGAAGGTGTGTGACTTTGCGCCCTATGGGCGTCATGTAAGGAGCTGCTCAAGGTCTCAAAGAACAACTGGCCCTCAAGTTCACAAGAAAAAGATGAGGACACACATCTGTGCCACCAGGAAGCAGGAGGAACTCAGCAAGGTTCTGGCCTCCAGGAGGAAGGCAGCTGCCAAGAAGCCCTGTCCCCCAAAACCCTCACCCAGCTTACGTAATAAAATATAATATTTTTTA